CAAATGAAATTAGAGTACAAAGCGGTAAACTATAGTACACCCTCACCTTGGCTGCTGTGGTATTCACACTTAGTTGCCAGCTAAGTGTTAATAACGCGACAGAGGGGAGGGGAGAGAGTCTGAGGGGAGACATGGCCCTAAGGCAGCTTGATGAGCACAGCCAAGAGGCACCTGGGTGGCCAGTTTTGGCAGGGTCGACAAAAAAAATGCAGCTTTGAGACGTCTCAAGCTTACACTTTTATCACGTGGAAACTTTTGGCAGGGGCGATGCCTGATATAAGCGCACCTGGGACTTAAGAGGCGGACATGGGCCGTGTGGTTGCGCAACAACCGAGTGAGCTGGCGGGGCGTGTGTGCTGTCTGACTCTCTGAATCTTTTCACTTCATTGAGTTGCCCATGGTACAGCCAATGCTCGCTTGAGCCTCACCTGGGACTTAAGTGCGGACATGGGAAGGCATGCTGCGAGGGCCGTGTGGCTGCCTGTCAAGCGGGTGAGCTGCCCTCTGAAGAGCGTGCGAGTGATGCGCACCCACACACGCTTGTTCAGGTGTCATTTCGATCGATTGAGCAGTTACTGAGCCCTCACCTGTGACTTAGTTGCGGACATGGGCAGGCATGCAGCCAGGGCAGTGTGGTTGCCTGTCAAGCGGGTGAGCTGGCCTCTGAAGAGCGTGCGAGTAATTCTCACACGCGTGTTGAACACAAACCCCGGCTTGCCGATCTGTGGGGGGTGGGGGGTAAAAGGGAGGAAGGGTGTAGGGTTGGGATAGAGCTGGCCTCTGAAGAGAGTGCGTGTGATTCTCACACGCGTGTTGAACACAAACCCCGGCTTGCCGATCTGTTGAATGAGGTGCAATGGGGTGAGGGAGAGGGAGGAATGTGGGAAGGAGAAGGAGAGGGGGCGGAGAATGGGGTATGGGGGTCCTTGAAAAGCAATGGGAGAGAAGTGTGGGAGGTGGGGGACTGGCAATGACGTGAGTGACCTGGCTCCACGTGGCTTGTAGACCTGGTTTCTTACCACTCTCTTGACTCTAGCAACTCAACCGCCCCATTAGACGTAGTGTTTAGCAAAAACCTTCAGGTGTATTCAAGCTTGCTGTGTTTCAAACCCTTCCGGCTCTCTGCATTGACGTGAGTGAGAGCTGGCCCCACGTGGCTTGCCAATCTACCTTGAGAGCCCCTGAACGAGCCCCACCCACCCTCGTACCTTTCTCAATGCCTCTCCGTCGCCCCCGACCAGCACCGAGGCCGGCGTGTTCATGGTCTCAGGCGCGGGGCAGTTGAGCAGCAGCTCCTTATCCTCCTCCCTGCACGCGCCCTTGGGCCCGTGCCAGCACACCACCTCGGTCACATTGATTGGCTTCACATACTTGCGCCGGTACTCTGCTGTGCTGAAGAGAAGACACACAACACCACACCTCAATCAAGCCCCGCCCCATAGATTTACCTTTCTTAAGGCCTCTCCGTCTCCCCCAACGAGGACTGATGCGGGCGTGTTCATGGTCTCAGGCGCAGGGAAGTTCAAGAGCAACTCCTTATCCTCCTCCCTGCACGCGCCCTCCAACAAGCCCAACCAGTGCACGCACCTTTCTCAATGCCTCTCCATCCCCCCCAACCAGCACCGATGCCGGTGTATTCATAGTCTCAGGCGCGGGGCAGTTCAAGAGCAGCTCCTTATCCTCCTCCCTGCACGCGCCCTTGGGCCCGTGCCAGCACACCACCTCGGTGACGTTGATCGGCTTCACATACTTGCGCCGGTACTCCGCTGTGGTGAAGACCACCTTGCCGAAGCAGCGCCTCAGGTGCTCGATGTCGAGAGCCACGTGCATGTTGTAGTTGCGGACGACTTCCGAGTGGTGGAAAGGCACGATGAGGGTTCGGCCCAGGAGGCCAGCTAGGAGTAGGTGGTTCTTGATACAGAGAACCCGGTTGCTGATCTGTATTGAGGGAGAAACAGGACAAAAAACAAGAGTTTTGGCAGTACTCTACTCTGCTCTAGTCAGCTCTACTCTGCTCCGCTGTGGTGAAGACCACCTTGCCAAAGGCAGCAGCGCCTGAGGTGCTCGACGTCGAGAGCGTGCATGTTGTAGTTGCGCACCACTTCCGAGTGGTGGAAGGGCACTATGAGCGTGCGGCCGAGCAGGCCGGCCAAGAGAAGGTAATTCTTGATGCACACCACCCGGTTGCTGATCTGATGGGGGGAGAAAGGTGGCGGGTAGAGGGCAGAGGTGGGGGGAGAGCGACGTGCATGTTGTAGTTGCGGACCACTTCCGAGTGGTGGAAGGGCACTATGAGGGTTCGGCCGAGCAGGCCGGCGAGGAGGAGATGATTCTTTATGCAGAGAACTCGGCTGCTGATCTGTTCTTGGGGAAAAAAATGTCTGCGGGGTCAGGTATTGTGGGGGAGAGGGTGGAGGGGGATCAGGAGAGACTAGCAGCCAGGCTAGGAGGCACATCACCTAGTTGCTGATCTGATGGGGTGGGGGGGAAGAGGAGCGGAGAGAAGTAGGGGAGGGAAGGTAGAGAGGGCAGGGTGCACAGCTAATGAGTGAGGGAGGAGGAAAAGGGGGAGAGGACAAGGAGGGCGCGGAAGCGGGCGAGTGAGCGCCGTTCCCAGTGCGCACCTTCCTTAGACCCCACCTTTCCCTAATGTGGTGCAGCAGCAGAAGCCCCCCTCTCGTGGTCCGCCAAGACACTGTGCCGGCAGCAACTGCGCCTGCCTCCCCCGTCCGCACACCTTCTCCGGTACCACCACCTTCCCCAGTACCCACCCACCTGCCCTCTAACGCAGTGCAGCAGCAGGAACTTCCCCCTCGTGGTGTGCCATGGTACGGTGCCTGCAGCAACAGCGCCTGCCCAGTAACCACCTTCCCCAGTACGTTAGCACCCACCTGTCCTCGCACACAGTGCAGCAGCAGGAACTTCCCCCGGGTGGTGTGCCAAGGCACGGTGCCTGCAGCTATGGCGCCTGCCTCCAGGGCTGGGAGAAAGAGGTTCCCTGTGTCGTTGGCAGGGCACTGCAGCACCCCATCGTGCCTGGGGGGTGGAGAGCAGTAAAGGGGGATGGGAAGGGGTGAAGAGGGGTGGATTGAAGGCATGGTGCCGGCAGCAACAGCGCCTGCCTCCAGGGCTGGGAGGAAGAGGGTTCCCGTGCCGTTGGCAGGGCACTGCAACACTCCATCGTGCCTGTGGGGTTGAAGAGGTGTGGAGAGGGGCGAAGAGGGACGGGGAAGGGTGATGAGGGGTGGAGAGGGGTGCAAGGAGGCAAGGCACGGTGCCTGCAGCGACAGCGCCTGCCTTGAGGAGGAAGAGGTCGCCCGTGCCATTGGCTGGGCAAGAGGGGTGCCGAGGGGTGAAGAGGGGTGGAGAGGGGTGGGCAAGGTGCCTGCAGCGATGGCACCTGCCTCTAGGGCTGGGAGAAAGAGACTGCCCGTGTCTTTGGCCGGGCACTGCAGCACCCCTTCTTGCCTGGCGGGGTTTGGGGGGGTGAGGGGCGGTGAAGAGGGGTTCAGGAAGCCAAGGCACAGTGGCACCAGCAACGGCGCCTGCTTCGAGGGATTGGAGGAAGAGGTCACCTGTGCCATTGGCAGGGCACTCAGCACTCCATCGTGTCTGGATGGGTGGAGAAGGGTGTAATCGGGTGCCGGCACGGCAGCAACCGCGCCTGCCTAAGGGCTGGGAGGAAGAGGTCGGCCGTGCTGCTGTTGGCAGAGCACTGCAGCACCCCATCGTGCCGTAAGGAGGGGTGGAGAGGGGTGGAGAGGGGTGGAACGGGGTGGAGAGGGATGACGAGGGGTGAGGTGGGAAAGTGCGGGAAAGAGCTAGAGCGTACCATCATGAAGCCTGTCGCCCTCTTCTCCACAGTAAGACCCTCATTGCACGTAACCAGAAGCAAATTCTGAAAATCCTTAATTTAATCAGAAGCCAATCAGGCACGGTGCCTGCACAATTGAAACGCACACCCTCACCCTACTGCACACCTGCAAGTCACCCTCCCTCCACCCGCACACCCGAATGTGACCACTCTCATTCCCACCCGCACGCGTACCGAGCAGCGGCGATAGCCGGCCTCGAGAGTACCGCCGCCAGCAGCATCACCACCGTCAAGACCATGAGCGGGGTTACGAGCCGCGACATTCCCAAAGCTGCGACGCCGGAATGACGCGCGTTTGGAGAAACCCGACAGCGCGACGCGATGCGGGTTTGGTGCGGAGTCATTATCATGGGAACATGTGGGATGCGGTGCGATGAGGTTTTGGCGAGGGACTGTTCGGCCCAATTCGGTGCAGTCTGGTGCGGCGCAGAGGTTGTGGCAGCTTGCACGGAAGGTTGCCAGACGCAATCTCGGGAACTTCAGTTAGAAAACGGACGGGCTCGACGAGGACACTAACGTACTTAAGACCAACTCAACGGCTAAATAATCTGCATTGAAAGAAGGTTCAATACAGGGTTTTCGAATGTTGATCACGTTGAGTGGGAGCGGAGACTACCAAGCTTTTCAGATTAAGCGCGTTAGAAATGACCGGAATGCGGAGCCATTGTTTGATGGAGCTGTTACCAGGAGAAAGCCGTATTCCGCTCAGCCCATATGGCCGCGAGTCGCGATTCCATCAGAACCCAGCGGGGTAGGTGTGACAAAGGGTCGTACGCAATATGCATTTCATGCGCGCTCGTTAGAAGGCTTTGCAAACATGGTGAGAGAGGGAAGCATATTTGCAATTTAGAATTAAGTTGGATATCAAGACTTGACAGTAAGCGAATGGAAATAGTGCCTGTAATACTAATGTCTTGTCAGGTCATATGCCTCTTAAAAAGATACACAAAAAGCTTACAACAAGTACTGGAACCCTAACATGCCCATGTAAACATTCCCTATCCATTTGTCACTAACAGAATTATAATCGTTTGGCCGCACCACATGAAGTTAACAACCTGAGCGCCATTTGGAGAAAATGCAACAACCTAATCAATCCCCTAACTGTCAATTTTCTTTTGGAGGGTCACATATGAGGTGGAAGGTTTGGTGACCTGCTGTCCCCTAAAACAGCATCCAAACGAGGAGAAAAGGCTTCGTAGATGAGGGTAAGTGGGCGACCATGACTATAAAAGAAATAATGTCTAGCCCAGAAAGGTCCTGGTACTCCAAATATTCTGCAATGGGGTAAAGGAATAAGAAAGAAACAGGAGAGTGGTGGCTTTCAGAACCCTAAAACCACAACCTCCAAACTTGCACCGTACATTGAGCATTCACACTGCATGCAGTCCAGAAAAGGTTCACGAGCAGCTGAAAGAGTACAGCCAGAACAAGCACGAACGCAGTCCTCACCTTTCTAAATGAGGAGAGGAGCCATAATACAGCCGCTCTAGCGAGCGAAAGAGTTCTGTCCTCTGCTGCTGCAATGTCTTCCATATAGGCTGTTGCACAGCTGGTAGTGCTGACTTCACCTCCTCTGCCGCCCACCATGAAGCAGCATACACCAACACCTCGCCTGAAGGAGGCTTCAAATGGACCTGCCAGCGTCATGACAACATCAGCAGCTCAACTTAAGTAGATATGGTTTTGCAAACGAGACTTTCAGTCTTTTGCCAGATATAAACCGAGATGGTAGTGGAGAGATGATGGGTGGGCAAGTGAAGGGACAAAAAGCGGCTGCATACGAAAGTGAAAAGGGGTTACAGCATAATGTTCTGGTTTCGCTGCTGTACCTGTCTCTGAACTCGTGGTCCTGGCACGAGCGCTGTGCCAGGAGGCAAGCCCAGAAGAGCATGACCAATTCCCCGCATCTCCACACAGTCTACGGAGACTTGCTCCCCGAGCAAGAGCTCCAAATGGCGCGTAACTGAGCCATCGCTCAGAAGCATCATCCTCCAAAGACGAGGAAGCGAGAGGAGCAAGTCCTTTTGCTCCAAAACGCACTGCTCAGTACCCTGTGACAAAAGCAGATCCAGCAAAAAGTACCATCAGCAACCTGTATGTAGATAACGTTATACGATGGATAACCTTACACGGAAGTGTCACGACAGACTCAACGCACCTGCCAGATCGGCTTGACTGGATACCAGTCCGGGGACATTAAGTTTATCCATTCGGAGTCCATTGCGGGTTTTGGTCGCTGTCCTTGTTCTTGCTGCTGTCTCAGCTGCATGTCAATCCCGGCTACTGGACTAGGGGGAGGCCGAAACGGTGGAGGCTTAGAGAATGGCCTTGACGGCGTCATCGACGAACCTACAACCGCTACAGGAAAGTTGGCTGCTCCTCCATTTGAAGATCGGTTATACTCCTGCATACTACCATCTTCTACCGATCGATACTGCGTGTTGGCTTTAACCACGCCTCCTTGGCCCGGACCACTTTTACCCGGGCGTGGTATTTGATCCTGTTTCGGATTCTGAGGCCTGCTGGAGAAAGCGGAAGGATTTGACGACGAGGAGCCTGATTGGCTAACTGAAGGCGATGATGGCGGATTGGCTGAAGAAGATGATGGTTGAGTGGACGGAGACGATTTGCTGACAGATGGAGAGGGACCCACAGAAGGGGGATTCAGGGGACTAGAAGGTTTCGGATCATCATGCTGATCTTTCATGGAGCCATCGGCGTTGTCACCTCTGTTGCTTTCTCCACGCGTTTTGCCGCTGTTGCTGCTCTTGAAATCTCCGCTAGATGACCGCGCCGAGAAATCGGGAGGGGTAGCAGAGGATGCAGAAACCCTGATCGAAAACAGTGGATCAAGAAAAAAAGGCGCGGGGAAATATAGAAGGGAGTGAGAACATCAGAAATAAGAAACAAGCCATCTCATATGATCGGTGCAACATTACCACACAAAACATAACACTTGCAAAGTTATTATTGCAGCAAGATGTATGATGTCAAATCGAAGATCAACAGAAAGTGGATACATTTTATTGGACTTGAAAGGAATTCAGGCATTTACCTTGTGATCGACTCTCGTCTCTTTCTATATCTGTCGTGACGAAGAGAGAACAGTGTCGAGGTCCTAACCCATGAGATCCTCCTCACAGAAGCAGATTCATGTTGCAAGCTGTTCGCTCCTATCGCTTCTACACGAACACTACTTGGACGAAAACTAACAGCTCTGGCCTCCATGCTGGATCCGTAATCGGTTCGGACGAACGGAATACAACTCACAACTTGAGACTAAGAAACACAGGTTCGTGCGACAAACATCCTATCGAACTCATATTCTTTTCTCTGAAAGCCAAAAAAACGGGCTCGTTCAGCTCGAACTAAAAACGAACGTGCATAACCTTCTCTCACACGAACGTCCCACTCCTACGAACCAACTGTCAAGACAACGAAGCCGTTTATTATGAACGCTAGCCCTAGACACGTCGCCTTGAACCCTCAACAATCGTGGACGGCTCATAAGACCAAAAACGTGCTGCGGTTGGAAAATAATAATCGGTGTTGCTTCCTTTTGTTGGAACTACAAAGTTCTACTGGCAACTAGAGCCATCACCTGCAGCCGCAGAAGCTCGTTTCTTGGCTTCGCACAGGAGATTCTCAAGGTTTTCTGGGAGCACCAGCAACACAACCTCAGGGGGGACAGAAGAAACCACCGTGAGCGAAGACTTACGAGATACATGTGACGCTGTAACTCTCGAAAGTCATCCGACAAATCTGTCTGCTTCCAATGTTTTCGGGAGCCGAATGACGAACAAAGAGCATTTGCGAAGATGTGGGAAGTACAAGTATGCACCAATCACAAGGTGGTCCCACAATCTTGTTATGTAACCACTTACGAACTCCCACGTGTGATAAAGATCCCAATAACGCGGGACACTAGAGGCTCAAAATGGTTGGGAGACTCACATACAAGCTCGGGTGCAACATCTAGAATCTCGATGTGTGCGTATCCGCATCAGTACAGACTCACAACACATCTGTATTGCATTTTGAACAATTTACATATAACAATATCAATGCTGCTTTCCCTTTACCCCTCCCCACCCATCCACGCGCCAGGCTCGTATGGAAGCTTGGGTCTCAGAACTTCTAAAAAATATCACAGTGCAAAATGTGTACCCCGTTCAAAAAAGTTTCCAGAAGTCTGTTATCCATGGGTTTTCTGAGAGTGGCTTTTGGGTGGTTTTTGCGTGCTGAAATGGCTGCAAAAGGGAGCCCAAATATACCGCTCCTTTATACACAGACTTCATCTGTTACATTTTCAGTTTTGAAAATCAGCACACCACACGTAATGACTAACCCTAAACGCCAGACATCTTGAATGTAGGTAAGTACTTAGTATCGTCATCTCGAGTGAAGGCAGCAGAGGACGAAGCACCTCATATGACATCATCGAGGGCTAGGCGAATGTCTACACCCCTCACCATGCCAACGAGCGTTTTTAGCTCACGCCCAGACCTGAAGATTTTCACGGTGGGAAGGCTTCGGACGCCATATTCGGCCGACGTGTTGGGACCTTCGTCAATGTCCATCTTGAAACAGGAGGCCTTTCCTGAAAAATCCTCGGCGACCTCATCAATCGAGAAATCCATCATCCTGCAAGGACCGGACCAATCCGCGTAGAAAAGGATGAGAGACGGGAGCTTGCTGTCTAGAACACGGCTCTGAAAGTCGTCATCCTTTATCTTCTCCGCCATCGTCGGAATGGCGAAATCAGACAACTACCACTGGTACTTGTAGGTGTGGGGAGCCTACGAGCAGCAGCAGCGGTAGTAGTAAAAGCTCGGTGGATGTGACGAAGATTAAAGCTGACGGAAACGAAACGACGAGTGGAAGTCGGAAGAACAGCACTAGATTAAGTATTTGGCGATACCCCCCTACACAGCACTTGCTACGACTCTGGTGCGCAAGAGTCAGTCCGCGGAAGAGTCTGCTAAGTCACGTAATCGAGAGAAAGGGTCAGTGGGGAGAGCCGCGTCGCGTCAATGATGGGACGAAAGCTCCCGCCCCGCTAGGGGCGGGGATGGGCGGCGCTGGTTGCAATAGGCGATGCAGGGTGCTGGTCCGCGGATACCGTCCATATCCGCATGCTGTGTGACACAACTGAAGCGCATTGGGTACCCGAAACGATACCCAATCACACAAGCGCTGTCGCGATGGCTGCCCCAGTCCGCTAGAGCTAACGCGATAGCGCAGGCGGAACAGGAGGGTGGAGTCGAATATTCGAGACCGCACCGGTCCCGCCGGCAGTCACCTATCCGTGCTTGAATGTACAGTCGATGCTCAGCCTATCACAAAAACCAACAGGATCAGATAGCATCGCAAAATCGCCCCTTAGCAGCGCCTCGACGCCACCAGGCAGCGCGATCTCGCCTCAGCAGCGCCAGACGCCTTAGGCAGCGCGAAATCGCCCCTTAGCAGCGCCAGACGCCACCAGGCAGCGCGATCTCGCCTCAGCAGCGCCAGACGCCTTAGGCAGCGCGAAATCGCCCCTTAGCAGCGCCTCGACGCCACCAGGCAGCGCGATCTCGCCTCAGCAGCGCCAGACGCCTTAGGCAGCGCGAAATCGCCCCTTAGCAGCGCCTCGACGCCACCAGGCAGCGCGATCTCGCCTCAGCAGCGCCAGACGCCTTAGGCAGCGCGAAATCGCCCCTTAGCAGCGCCAGACGCCACCAGGCAGCGCGATCTCGCCTCAGCAGCGCCAGACGCCTTAGGCAGCGCGAAATCGCCCCTTAGCAGCGCCAGACGCCACCAGGCAGCGCGATCTCGCCTCAGCAGCGCCAGACGCCTTAGGCAGCGCGAAATCGCCCCTTAGCAGCGCCTCGACGCCACCAGGCAGCGCGATCTCGCCTCAGCAGCGCCAGACGCCTTATGCATCGCAAAATCGCCCCTTAGCAGCGCCTCGACGCCACCAGGCAGCGCGATCTCGCCTCAGCAGGGCGGAATCGCCGCAGAAACCACCAGGTACCACCTGAAACGCTATCATGGAAGACGACCCAGGCCCCGGGGACCCCGGGGTCTGGGCGGGAGACGGCGCAAACAACGGCACGACGGAGGCCATCGGGGGCAAAGGGGGGACAAGCACGGCGGCAGTCACGGGGTCGCTCTGCCTAGGGGCTGGCCACAAAAGACGGGGGGGGCCTGAGGGTGCGCTCCAGAGCCCACGCATCTGTCGCCTCCGCCACGAAGACATTCTGTGCCTCTTCGGCAAACCACCCAAGAGGCGGTGTTTTGAAGCGAACCGCCCGATTTCAGCAATTACAGGTGGACAATCCCCCAAGAACCCCCCCAGCAACCGGGCTGGCCAGAGCGGCGTCTCAGAGCCTTCGGCCGTCAACGAAGAGGGGGGAGAAGCAATGGGCGACAAGAGTCTGGCCGCCGATGTGGCATTGGAGGCTGCGAGGGCAGCTTGGGAAGAGCATCGTAGGCGCTTGCAACAACAGCACAACACTCGCAGGAGTGGCCTACCTGAGAGCGTAACGCGGCACAGTGCCTGCTCGACCGACGTCGACTCTCCCCTAGTCGTGCCACGTCTCGCACGGCGGCAGGAATGGCGGCGTCGGAGGGCGGCAGGAAGAGACAGGCAACGGGAGCCGCCGGTGGGGGGCCGGTGGGACCTGCAGGCGGGCGGACAGCAGGGGAGCCGGGAAAGAGGCCGACAGCCGCCGGAGGGGACGAGGCAGCAGCGGCTGCAGAGCGGAGGGCAGCATGAGCTGCAGGGCGGAGGGCAGCAGCAGCTGCAGAGCGGAGGGCAGCAGCAGCTGCAGAGTGGGGGGCAGCAGCAACTGCAGAGCGGAGGGCAGCAGCAGCTGCAGAGTGGGGGGCAGCAGCAGCTGCAGAGCGGAGGGCAGCAGCAACTGCTGCAGAGCGGAGGGCAGCATGAGCTGCAGGGCGGAGGGCAGCAGCAGCTGCAGAGCGGAGGGCAGCAGCAGCTGCAGAGTGGGGGGCAGCAGCAACTGCTGCGGAGCGGAGGGCAGCATGAGCTGCAGGGCGGAGGGCAGCAGCAGCTGCAGAGCGGAGGGCAGCAGGAGCTGCAGAGCGGAGGGCAGCGGCAGCTGCAGAGCGGAGGGCAGCAGCAACTGCTGCAGAGCGGAGGGCAGCATGAGCTGCAGGGCGGAGGGCAGCAGCAGCTGCAGTGCGGAGGGCAGCAGCAGCTGCAGAGCGGAGGGCAGCAGCAGCTGCAGAGCGGAGGGCAGCAGCAGCTGCAGAGCGGAGGGCAGCAGCAGCTGCAGAGCGGAGGGCAGCAGCAGCTGCAGAGCGGAGGGCAGCAGCAGCTGCAGAGTGGGGGGCAGCAGCAACTGCTGCGGAGCGGAGGGCAGCATGAGCTGCAGGGCGGAGGGCAGCAGCAGCTGCAGAGCGGAGGGCAGCAGGAGCTGCAGAGCGGAGGGCAGCGGCAGCTGCAGAGCGGAGGGCAGCAGCAACTGCTGCAGAGCGGAGGGCAGCATGAGCTGCAGGGCGGAGGGCAGCAGCAGCTGCAGTGCGGAGGGCAGCAGCAGCTGCAGAGCGGAGGGCAGCAGCAGCTGCAGAGCGGAGGGCAGCAGCAGCTGCAGAGCGGAGGGCAGCAGCAGCTGCAGAGCGGAGGGCAGCAGCAGCTGCAGGGCGGAGGGCAGCAGCAGCTGCGGAGTGGAGGGCAGCGTCAGCTGCAAAGCAGAGCACAGCAGGAGCTGCAGAGGGGAGGGCAGCATGAGCTGCGGAGTGGAGAGCAGCAGGAGCTGCAGAGTGGAGAGCAGCAGGAGCTGCAGAGTGGAGAGCAGCAGGAGCTGCAGAGTGGAGAGCAGCAGGAGCTGCAGAGTGGAGGGCATCAGGAGGAGCAGAGTGGAGGGCAGCAAGAGACATTGTGGGTGAGCGATGTGGAGATGGTGGACGAGGCAGGCACCGACGAGCTGGAATCAAGCCCCATGGAGGGGGAGAATGCCAACCCCGACTCCTCGGACCAAGCGGAAAGGCCCCGAGTGCGGGGGCGGGTCCGGAGGCGACGGGCAACCAAACTGCTACAGCTGCAGAGGGGAGGGCAGCAGCAGCTGCAGAGCGGAGGGCAGCAGCAACTGCTGCAGAGGGGAGGGCAGCAGCAGCTGCAGAGCGGAAGGCAGCAGGAGCTGCAGAGCGGAGGGCAGCGGCAGCTGCAAAGAGGAGATCAGCAGCTGCTGCAGAGTGGAGGGCAGCAGGAGCTGCAGAGCCGAGAGCAGCAAGAGCTGCGGAGTGGAGAGCAGCAGCAGCTGCAGAGTGGAGGGCAGCAGGAGCTGCAGAGTGGAGGGCAGGAGGAGCTGCAGAGCGGAGGGCAGCAAGACCCACTGGGGGAGTTGGATGTGGAGATAGAGGCCGAGGCATACACCGACGAGCTGGAATCAAGCCCCATGGAGGGTGAGAATGCCAACCCCGACTCCTCGGACCAAGCGGAAAGGCCCCGAGTGCGGGGGCGGGGCCGGAGGCGACGGGCAACCAAACTACTACAGCTGCAGAGGGGAGGGCAGCAGCAGCTGCAGAGCGGAGGGCAGCAGGAGCTGCAGGGCGGAGGGCAGCAGCCCAATCAGAGCGGAGGGCAGCAGCAGCTGCAGTGCGGAGGGCAGCAGGAGCTGCAGGGCGGAGGGCAGCAGCCCAATCAGAGCGGAGGGCAGCAGCAACTGCAGAGCGGAGGGCAGCAGCAACTGCAGAGCGGAGGGCAGCAGCAGCTGCAGAGCGGATGGCAGCAGCAGCTGCAGAGCGGATGGCAGCAGCAGCTGCAGAGCGGAGGGCAGCAGCCCAATCAGAGCGGAGGGCAGCAGCAACTGCAGAGCGGAGGGCAGCAGCAGCTGCAGAGCGGAGGGCAGCATGTGCTGCAGGGCGGAGGGCAGCAGCCCAATCAGAGCGGAGGGCAGCAGCAGCTGCAGAGCAGAGGGCAGCAGCAGCTGCAGAGTGGAGGGCAGCAGCCCAATCAGAGTGGTGGGCAGCAGCAGCTGCAGAGCGGAGGGCAGCAGGAGCTGCAGAGCGGAGGGCAGCAGCAGCTGCAGAGCGGAGGGCAGCAGCCCAATCAGAGCGGAGGGCAGCAGCAGCTGCAGAGCGGAGGGCAGCAGCCCAATCAGAGCGGAGGGCGGCAGAAACTGCAGAGCGGAGGGCAGCATGAGCTGCAGGGCGGAGGGCAGCAGCAGCTGCAGAGTGGGGGGCAGCAGCAACTGCTGCAGAGCGGAGGGCAGCATGAGCTGCAGGGCGGAGGGCAGCATGAGCTGCAGGGCGGAGGGCAGCAGCAGCTGCAGAGCGGAGGGCAGCAGCAACTGCAGAGCGGAGGGCAGCAGCAGCTGCAGAGCGGAGGGCAGCAGCAGCTGCAGAGCGGAGGGCAGCAGGAGCTGCAGAGCGGAGGGCAGCAGCAGCTGCAGAGCGGAGGGCAGCAGCCCAATCAGAGCGGAGGGCAGCAGCAGCTGCAGAGCGGAGGGCAGCAGCCCAATCAGAGCGGAGGGCAGCAGCAACTGCAGAGCGGAGGGCAGCAGCAGCTGCAGAGCGGAGGGCAGCATGAGCTGCAGGGCGGAGGGCAGCAGCCCAATCAGAGCGGAGGGCAGCAGCAGCTGCAGAGCGGAGGGCAGCAGCAGCTGCAGAGTGGAGGGCAGCAGCCCAATCAGAGCGGAGGGCAGCAGCAGCTGCAGAGCGGAGGGCAGCAGCAGCTGCAGAGCGGAGGGCAGCAGCAGCTGCAGAGCGGAGGGCAGCAGCAGCTGCAGAGTGGAGGGCA